CATATATATATATATATATATATATATATATATATATATATATATATATATATATATATATATATATATATATATATATATATATATATATATATATATATATATATATATATATATATATATATATATATATATATATATATATATATATATATATATATATATATATATATATATATATATATATATATATATATATATATATATATATATATATATATATATATATATATATATATATATATATATATATATATATATATATATATATATATATATATATATATATATATATATATATATATATATATATATATATATATATATATATATATATTATATATATATATATATATATATATATATATATATATATATATATATATATATATATATATATATATATATATATATATATATATATATATATATATATATATATATATATATATATATATATATATATATATATATATATATATATATATATATATATATATATATATATATATATATATATATATATATATATATATATATATATATATATATATATATATAATATATATATATATATATATATATATATATATATATATATATATATATATATATATATATATATATATATATATATATATATATATATATATATATATATATATATATATATATATATATATATATATATATATATATATATATATATAGTAAATTTGTATTGGAAACATCAATAAAAAATTAAATTTTATATTTTTATTAAAAGCAGTGTACAATTTCCAATATTTTATTTCTACTTTTTATTCTTAATTTGTGCCCTAGGGGCACAAGTTATCATTACCCTTGTTTTAATACGAATATTCATATTTTTGGTGAATTTTGGTGGTTGGGGTGAATATTGGAAATTATGGATTTTGAGTTATTTATTTAAATAATAGTATATGATATAAATATATTGATATTATTATTAATTTAAACAAATATAAGTGAATTAAGGGCAAAATGGAGATTTGAGGAGGAGTTAGTGAGGGTGAAGTTGGAAAGCCCAACTTTAAGGCGCAAAGTTAGGTTTAAGAAAAGAGAATTTTGAGAGAATTAGGATTCATTCTTGTTAGACCGTGAAAAGGGAAGAAATAAAGGCTAGAACTATGAGGAAGATGATTGAGGCAAAAGCTTCGCAACGTTTATGAGAATCAAAGAGAAAGGCTTAGAGTCGACAATTAAGGTATGAGGAGTATTGCCTTCATTGTTTTCAATATGTGATTCAATGTGTTTGAAACTACTTTAAGGGTTTAGGTATTTTTGAGTATTGGATTGCTGTTTCCTTTTTGATGGTGAGTTCAATGAGTTTGAGGGATTTGATTTGATGGTCTGATAGGTTTGAGGCTGGTTTGAGAAAAAGGGAAATTAGGCCTTCGTGGCCAAAATCTGTTGTTGAGGTTTTAACCGTATAGGGTAATTAGACTGTGAGAACTCTAATGACTGTGGGGTAGTTGTGAGAAACTATAGGAATGAGAGGCGTAAATATAATACGGGATTGGCCTAATAAGTCGTAGATTTTGTGCCTTTATCGCTGTAATACCTTAGGAATGATTTAGAGATGTTTTTTGGGCATTGGGGAAGGAAATCGTATAGGTTTTTGGACTGGTTTTGGTGCTGGTGCGCAACAATGATTTGTTATAATCTCAATTTCGCACAGCGAAGAATGATTCGCACGGCGAACATTTGCCTTAGACTCGCACAACAAACTTGCTAGCGAATGTAGTAAAGTTTCGCGAATTTTGATCTTGTGCAGTGTTGTCTTGATGTTTTGATGTTGTGATTTCTTTGATGAATTACCATGAGTATGACTGTAATTCATATGTGATTAATACATGATTATATGATGATTCCTATGAGTAATGGTGATGATTTATGATGTTGATTCCATGAGTTTTTGATGATTATATGATGACATGATTATTATGATGAATTTGATGAATGATGATGCACCTAATGAGTTTATTATGAGGATGATATTGACATGTGCATCATGCATTCATATGCATCTGAACTTCGGTTCAGGACCTTGATTTTTGTGGCTTCAGTCCTATTGTGCGGATGTGAGGTATTTTGTCATGCTCCGATTCTTGTGTAAAATCGATCCTACTGTTGTGGATCTATGGAGGGTTGATGGCCCAGTGTCCATCGAATTTTGTTGATTGGTACCACATGCATGAGTCTTGTTGCATTTGCATTTATGTGACATTTTGATGTAATTTATAATGTTGTGGCCTTTGACGTTCCTTGATGATTAGGATGATGTTGAATATGAAAATTACGCCATTTTATATATTGATTATTATGAATCGTTTTACTCACCCTGCCTGTTTGAATGTTGCCTCCACGTGAGTAATGTGCAGATGACCAGGTTTAGCCGTGGATGCCGTCGAGGACTTTTGAAGTTTTTGGGTCGTTGACACTTGTGGTTAACTTAGAGGGTCTTGCTCTGATAGTGTAACATCGGATTGGGGTCTTTGAGTCAAACTATATTTTATTGAGTTTTATTATGTTGATTGCCCTGCGGCGCAAGGAAAGCTTTGGATTATTACCTTTTTGAGTTCCGCTGCCCTTTGAGTAATATTTTTGAATAATTTTGGAAAAACCCGTTGTTTACGGAGCATTGACTATATTTGAATTTTTTAGAAATGTGCGCCCTTTTGAGATGATGTGTTGCGTTCAATATTTTACTCTGATAAATATGATTAATTTGCATTTATATTTGTGGGGTAGAAAAGGGTGTTACACCCGAGGAGTCCGACGATGGAAATGGTCAGAGTGATGGGGGATCCCGGCCCGAGAAAGAAGTCATTGCTTGATTATTTTTCCTCTTTTAGCTGTTTAGCCTGCACGCCATTTGAGTTATTTTGTCAGGTCTGCGTGCCGTAGTTAGTAGCTGATTTTGCCCGGCCTGTGTGCCAAGGGTTTTGACTTGTAATAATTGAACAAGGGCTCTGCCCGACACAATGCATTTTGATATATCTTTTGGTATTTTTATATTTTGTGTGTGCTGCTTGTATGTTGAATATGTGTTTTACTTGCGTGTTTTCATTTAAGTATTTGGGGCCTTTGCTCGACGTTATTGGTCCTCGACAATGCAGAGAACTGGTAGAGTGGTTGGAGTCGGAGCACTGGAGCAAGTTCCTTTCGTGCAGGTTTTCGAGGTAGTAGGCTCTGGTCTCCGTTTTCGCGCAGATGCGATATCGGCCCTCCCAGTTTGCGACGAGCTTGCCTTCACGTGAATCTTTCTGGTTTCTTCGTAGGACTAGGCTGCCTACTTGGAATTCACGTTTGATGACTTTGCTGTCATGTCGCAAAGTTGTCATCTGTTTGAGCGAGGCTTCGCGGAGGGACGTCGCCCACCAGATTTTTTCGACTAGGTCGAGCTCCTCCCTCAGATTCTCGTCGTTCATCTCCAGAAGTCGCCGAAAATCTCATGCATTCCCCGTAACCCTACTAGCTCCCGGGAGAAGTCATTGGAAAATCAATAAAAAGCTGGAAAAGGAAACATAAACTTACTTGAAGAAAGAAGATCTGAGCTACGGAGAAAGACTGATGGCGGCGGCGACGGCGGACGCGGTCTGAGGAGCAGAGAGATCTTGGAGAGACTTGGAAGAAATTCTAACTGAAATGAAGGGGAAGTGGAAATGAAGAAGACTTTTCCCATATTTATAATCCCAGCACGGGACGCGAGACATCACTAGGCACTCAAGTGCCCCTACGCCTAGCCGCCCTAGACACTGATTACTCGTGACACATGGCGTTAGAAGACACCACGCGTGTCCTCTTGACTCTCCCTCGTGCTCGAGGACCAGGCGTGCCCGTTCCTTTCCATCTTCGCCACATAGTCGACCAAAACTCCCAACGAGGACATATCTAGGGGAGAAGGAAGAAAAGAGCCAGGACTGCGTTTGACAGACAAACCTTCCCGCAAGCTCTTGCCCGAACGAGGAAGTTACTTATCTTGGGCACACACTTTGTCCCCGAGTCCAGTGTTTCAGACACGCACACCACTTCTCCGGACATGTCCTCGATGCCCGAACTGACTCTTAAGTCATTACTCATCTGCTTCAGAGCAACGACTTAGGGGGCTTCTGTTCTGGACTGGGTCAGAGGCTGGTTAACCGCGGGGCACGACCCAACCCAGCTTCCCGTCAGGGGGGGCCCAATGAAGGCCCAATCTTTCAACATCCACAAGGAGTTCTCACACGTCTCCCTCCACGGTCTCCACGTGCCCCCCCACGCGGGTACACGTCAGCAGACAACTACCCACCTTTCGAGGAATACAGGACAGATGATCTAGAGCGAAGACCACATGTCGGTCTTCCATATGCCATGTAAGTCCTGACAGTTACTCGTATCGGGCCTTGCGATCCAACCTAGTGCAAAGTAATCGTTGGCTCAGCGCTGAGGGCACAATATAAATACCCTATTTCACTAGATGGTCAGGTATTCAATTCTCTACCCACCTTTTTGTACTTACTCTTTCTACTCTGTCTCTTACTTTGACATCGGAGTACCTTGCAGATACACCCTTTTCTTTTCTCTATCATCGAAGAATACAGAAGCTCACGACGTATTGTTGACTGTTAATCATTTTCTAATCCGATAAGATCAGATCAATATTTATCTTTTTGTACAAGATGCTATCTATGTAATGGTTATAGAAATTACCTATATTAAAGAAACCCAATTAATGTAATTTGCATATTAGATAAACGTCAAGCAATAGAAGAATGAATGAGACACCAAGCAAGAAAAGAATGAATGAGCGGATATATTTGAAAGAAAATTTAAAATATCTCTTTAAATATTTAATTTCTAAATAAATTTCTATAAAAAAAATAATTAAAAAAAATACTATTAATTTATAAATTATCCTCTTCATCATTTCCAAAACTCCTTACACTTCATCCTCTTCAATCATGTAGTGTAACTTCTTGTGGATCAGAGAAAGAAAAATGGGCATGGTGGTAAGAAGAGTATCCCAAGTTTTGGGATTAACCAACAACACTAAGATCAGGAATTTCTCATTCAAATCCCTAGATCCGCCATTACCATCACTCTGCCATGGAATCCACGTTTTTCATTGTCCTGTAAGTAATTCACCCGCGTTCCACGCTTTTTACTATTGCAAACTCGTAAAGGAATGATTTTTTGAGACCCCTTTACTCAATTTGAAAATGGGTTTCTTCAATTATTTGGAAATGAAATTGAATTTGTGTTTTTTGTGTGATGTTTTGATAGGATGCTGTTGGAATTGTTGCAAAGTTATCTGATTGTATTGCATCTAGAGGTGGAAACATTTTATCTGCTGATGTTTTTGTTCCTCAAAATAAACATGTCTTTTACTCTAGAAGGTACTCTCTTTTATCTATTCTCTTGTTGTTTCTATATATATCATACCATGTAAGCTCAATCAATGTTGTCTTGTTGTGGGTTTTTGTAAATGTTTTAGAGTCCATTTTAATTGGCATATTTCAGTTTATCTAGTGACACAGATTTGAAAGGGTTCGTGGAAACAACTCATGACATGTTTAACAACCGCTTTTAGCCGGATAACTTATGAAAACAGTTTAGTTTATCAGACATCGATAAGATCAAACAGAATGTTGGGATGTAAATAACCAACACGTAAGTAAACTAAGTATAACAATGATGAAGATGTTGCTTTGAATTTGTGGTAAGATTAGAAATGACAGTATTCAAGAGTTTGGGGTATCACTTATAGTAGAAAAGATGGTGGAAACTAGGTTTAGGTGGTTTGGACTTGTAGAAAGAAGACCTGCGGATTCAGGCGACTAAATTAAATGGAGTGTAGTCAAAACCGTTAGAGGTAGAGGAAGACTTGGAAAAACTTTTAGAGAAATTATTAAGAAAGATCTCGAGATTAATGAGTTGTATAGAAGCGTGGTTTTTGATTGAAGGTTATGGTGTGGTTTGATCCATGTAGCCGACTCCACCTATTGGAATAAAGCTTGTATGGTTGTGGTAGTAGAAATAGCTTATACATAAACACTTGTATATATAAACTTGTATATTATAACTGCTTAATTAAACTGTTTATTTTTGAGTACTTTTGATCTGATTTCAAATTAGTCCTTAGCGATTGTTCTTAGTAGGTATTTGAAATTAGTCCTTAGGGATTGTTTTAGCAGTTACTGGGGATCAATTTGGATTAGCTTATACATTCTAGCTTATACCAGCTTCTCAATTAAAATAAAATTACAATTCTTCAAATGTTATTTTAAGTTCCTATGGTGACTATTGCTATTTTTTAAACTTTTTTACTTCAATAAGTGTATCTTGGAAGTTAATCTAAACCAGTGTTGTTACTGTTTCTGTATGCTTTAACATGCTCTAATGCCAAGTTTATCTCAGTGTGAATGCATTATCTGAGCTTCATAATCTAATGCGTAGTTAAAAAAGTCAGATCTGAACATACATGCATGCAAGGGGAAGGAAAACTAGTTAGCGATTTGAATGAGTGTACAGAAACAAAACAATGACTGCAGCTGCATTGGCTTGTGTTGATCATTGCAGTGATTTTGTTTTTGATCCTCTTAAATGGCCACGGATGCAGATGGAGGAGGATTTCCTAAAGCTTTCACAGGCATTCAATGCAACAAGATCTTGCGTGAGGGTGCCAGCTCTTGATCCTAAATATAAAATAGCCGTTCTTGCATCAAAGCAGGTGTGCATTATTATCACTCTTGTCACGTTGCACAGACATATACATGTACGGAAACAGATTCCCTGTAGTAATTGTGTCACGTAGTTACTAATGTTAACAATCCAATCTAAATTGTTGGTCCAGATCGTTTAATACTGATTTAGTGAATATATAATCTAAGTCGTCTGATCTCGAATCAACGACTAAGATTGATTATAGCATGTAACTGCAGTGGCGGAGCCAGGACCCTAGGCCAGGGAGTATTACTGTATCGGATCCATATAGATAGATATATGTTGAAGCCTTTGTTCTTTTGCTGCAGGACCATTGTTTGGTTGATTTATTACACGGATGGCAGGACGGAAGACTTCCGGTGGATATCACTTGTGTAATCAGGTGAAATTTCAGAAATTACACCGGTAAATGAATTTATATCTCTATTATATGCATTTTTGTTCACATTTTAATCGATTTACATGTTGTATTGATCAGTAACCATCATAGAGATTCAAACACGCACGTGATTCGCTTTCTTGAAAGGCACGGTATTCCATATCATTGTTTAAACATGACCAAAGAAAATAAAAGAGAAAGCGAGATATTAGAGCTTGTTCAAAATACCGATTTTTTAGTACTTGCAAGATATATGCAGGTAAATAACTAATTACAATTCCTGTTCTCCACATGTTACTAATATTACTATTGATACTTAACAGCATTGGTTTATATGTAAAGATACTATCGGGAAACTTTCTAAGGAGCTACGGTAACGACGTAATTAACATTCACCATGGTTTGTTGCCATCATTCAAGGGTGGTCATCCGTCTAAACAGGTTCATCTTCTCACACTTTGACTGGTCAAGCTGTTGCCGTGGGCATTCATCTTTGTGTTTAAAATGCTATATACTAATTTGGCAGGCCTTTGAGGCTGGTGTGAAATTAATTGGTGCAACAACTCATTTTGTGACCGAAGAACTTGACGCTGGACCTATAATTGAACAAATGGTAAACATAAACTTTTTCCTTCCATGTTTCTAGTTTCTTTGTATTAAGATGTGAATGTTGATCTTAACTGCACTAAGGTGTTTATCACAAACATGGTTGTTAAGGGTCCCACGTCAGACAATACATGGCCTGAACATGCAATTCTTAACATGGTATCAAATTCTAGCTACATTTCTTAATATGGTAGAAGAGTTTACGATCCAGGGTCCTGCTATTAGGTTTCTGCTTTTGGGCAACTCACACCGTCTCAATTATGATTTGATGTTTATGTGAGTCTAAAGTGGTTGAGTCTGATTTGCAGGTTGAGAGAGTTTCACACAGAGATAACTTGCAGAGCTTTGTGCAGAAATCAGAAAACCTTGAGAAACAATGTCTTTCCAAGGCTATAAGATCTTATTGTGAACTTAGAGTATTACCTTATGAAGGCAAGAAGACTGTTGTATTTTGAGAAAAAACAACAAATAGCTAAACATAATGCATACCAAAATTTGGGGTGCATCTGTATTTACATTCAATTTTTTTCAATTTTTACTTGTAAAATCAAATAATGTTCCATTTTACTTTAATTGCAAAAGATGAGGATAAATGGACTCAATTTGATTCATTAGGTTCTTATCAGATTGATATTGTAATGAATATAATCCGAAGCTCTAATTATAGGCAGTGGCAAAAGGACATGTCTGTCCCGCAAAAATTTATAAAAAAAGAGGCGGGATGGGACGAGCATAGTAGAGGGTGTGAACCTGAAACTATAATCCATAGCATAGGGTGTGAACCTAAAACTTTAATCCGCCAAAACAAAATTAGGGTGGGGCGGACTTTGCATCCACAAAGCCTAGAGTTACAAAATTCATGTTAATGCACGAGTCTGAAAAAAAAAAAGAAACGGAACAGACATAATAAAAGGTGCGGACCTAAAACTTTGACCAACTCTGAAAAAAAATGCAGATTAAACAGATATGTCCGGTAAATTGGATTTGTTTTGCCACCTTAACTCCAATCCATTGTGTTCTCTCCAATCCTATAATTTGATCATTCTGATAAATGTAATATTTGAAAAATATGGATGTTTGGCTACTATTACAAAATTACCTTGAAACTTGTTAGAGTAGAAACATTCAAATTCAATTTTAAATATTCCAATTTTACAAAATAATTTTCTCTCAAATTATTTTTATGACACAATATGCAAGTTGCATTGAGTTATAAAAAATGTTGTTACCAATTGCGGTTTGTTTAAATTCGGTTACTCAACAAAACTAAAAAAACGCGGTTTTAAGCGCTATTTAACATAGAACAACAGCAATTTGTTCAAACTTTTCTAGATTGTAAATTAAATAGCAGTGTCATTCAATTTATTATTGTGTATAAGCAATGTGTAAGACTTTAAAATTCTGCTGCATCTTGATATAGTGATACAATAAAACATGCCACTAGCTTCTTATTTCCAAAGTATCATTTCAACAGAAGACAATGGATTTAAAAACTGAGGAGACAAAAGTCAACTTGTAGCAAGTTGGAAAGCTCTCAAGAATGCCTCCGTCGGCTGTGCACCGCTTATCGTCTGAGTCCCGTTAATCTATCAAATGAATAAATGAGTACGCGTGCGTTTGGATTAGCGACGAGTATGACAGAATCATGGTGACAGAATCGGCTCGGTGCTGATCACTAAGCAACTAAAAGAAAAGTCTTAATATTTTGTACACTTACCACATAATGGGGAACCCCTGAAATGTTTCTTGAGTATGTTTTAAGCTCATCCTCCACCTAGGTAGATTCATGGAAAGCAAGATCAGAAGAGACGCAATGTTATTCAATAACTAAAACCGATCATGATAATTGGTTATGATATCTATTATTGGTAGGACATTTTCGAATTCTCTGTAGTCATGGATTCCAGCCGCTATGTATTCGTATTTTGAGATGTATTTTTGAAGCTAGTTTTGGTGAAGTTAGATTAAAATCGTCTGATCTTCATTCAACGACCGATTGATATCCTTTGACTATAGAGAATCTAAATCCGATTGCACTATAGAGAATTTATATCCGATTGCACAACTGATAATAATGTGTGTGGATACCTAGCAACGGAAGATTATATTGAAAAAATCTTACCTCCTTCAGCCCATTGTTAGGGTTCTTAAGAAACTCTTCTGCCCCTTCTATACCAACCTTGGCAGCAGATTCAAGAAGAAAATTCCTGCGATAAAAAATTGTCGGCTAAATCCTTCCACAAATTACCACTCATTTTCCATGACCTTAATTATTAACGAAACACAGACACTGATACTGACACACAGACACGGTAATAATTTGGAAATATAAATGTAGCCTTATCTAATCACAAGTGTCAATGTTCTGTTGGTATTTGACACTCGGACACGGCTTTAAACACTGAACACACCGCAGCATAAAAAGGTGAGAAAACGAAAGTACTGACCGGTCACCAATGTATTTTCCCTGAGTGAAATAACCAAGGAATAGTTCTTCAACCAGATTGTGTTGCTTATCGAGACCCTGCTCTCCGGAAAAATATATAAGCCTGTGGCTGTCGAGAGTGTTTCCTCTGCGTGATAATTCAAACGATGTTAGTTGAACCTCAGTAATTCGAGATGTGATTCTCTCCAGTGAGATTTTCACTCAGTGGAAATTCTTGCCATTCAATTTTTTAGAAAACTTTCACCGCACGCGGTAGAGATAAATGAGTGGCCGAGTTTCCACCGGAGAAAATTTTCACGGGAGAGAATCCATGGATGAATCGTAAAACCACTCTTAATCTTACGTGAGTCCATTCAAACTATAAACAAGACCGACTCCTCTGAAGACCTGTCAAATGAAAATATTAATTGCTCAAACTCAAAGATGCGATGAAATACGAACATGATTACAATCAAAAATAACATATGTGATACACAAAATTAAAACCTCCAACATTCGAGCTTCCATCTGAACCGATCGGGATCCAAACTTGCTTCTGTAAAACTCCCTCTTATCAATGCCTTCTTTAGGGGCATTGGGGTTGAGTTGATACGGATGCCATTTAATCTGCGAGTTCAGTTAAACAGCAAGTTAGCACAGAATCGCAAAAAATAACAGTTTGTTCAAATTCTGAAACGCTATAATGCTATAGCCGCGATTTTACAACACTGGAAATACAAGATATAGTTAGAAGTTAAAACACATCGAAATTCGAAAGGGAGAATGTCAGACCTCAAAGTTGTATTTATCCTTAGAGGAAGCAATGGCTTTGTCAAGATTCTTTTTGCCCACAAAGCAAAATGGACATACAGTATCAGAACTAATGTCAACTCGGACGAATTTCTTTTCGGAGTTAGAACTATTAGTGTCAGTCATGATCCTGCTGTATCTGCAATATCTCTAAAACACAAAACAACAAGATTGTTATTACAAGAAGGAAGAACAATCTAATACCTACGAAGCAATGACACAAGCACACAATGACACAAGCACAGACACCATACACAACACCGACACATCCACATATATAATAATTTTAAAAAATAAACATAAATGTCGGTGTCGTGTCAGTATTGATGTCTGACATTTAGACACATGGACGCATTTTTCCAGGAGTACGTGTTAAATAGTCTATTACCTAAAATTACTAATTTGCATAAGGGTAAACATACAAAAGCTAAGTGAAACTAAATTTCTGAATGATCTAAAACATGCTAGAAAATGACCCTTTGCCCTAAAAAAATTAGATGATGATTCAGAAACAACTCAACAACAATTCATACAAAATTCAATGAAAAAAGAGATCAATTTTGAAAATGAAAACAAAAAAGCAATCTTTGAGTCAATAAAACACAATCAACAGGAAAAAAAGAAACAATCTAGAGATAGAGAGAGAGAGAGGGGTACCAGATTTCAGAAGCTTTGCCAGAGAATTGGAATTGTTGTTGAATGATGTTGAATTTTATGATAGGTGAAAATGAATAATAATAATAATAATAATAATAATAATAATAATAATAATAATAATAATAATAATAATAATAATAATAATAATAATATTATTATTATATTTTTAATTATTATTAGTATGTGTTGACTTTATTGTTTTTTATTAGGTTGTGTTTCCAAACGTGTTGGAAAGTGGTAGTTTGAGATTTCTTTGATCAAAAGTCATTGTTTGAGATTGTTTACCTACCAGAATGAGGACACATTCATTTCACATGTATTAAAAAATATATTATAAACAAAAAGATAAGTTAATCTAATCTTATAACAAATTAATTTTATCAAGTACTATGGTGTAAATACAAAGTGAAAAATAAATGAAAGAGACAAAATAGAATTAAGTTAGATGAAGCATAGGTAAAAATAATGACACAATCTTAGGAAACTGACTTTATATTTATCATACGTTATTTTAAGTTAGATTCTTCCTCCAAAACGTTATTCTAGTACGCCCACTTATCAACTAGCCACCGAACCACTCGGTAATAATTCCATTTCCACCTCAATTCAAGGATTTCTTCTTGAAGGTAGAGGCGAGAATATTTACGTTTTGATCGATGACTTATCCTCAGAGATGCTGAAACATCAATATATAATGTTGATCAAGTAACTACAAACACAAAGAGGCGCGTGTGTGTAGGGGGGAGTGATTTGTGATATCTAGAAATCAAAATATTCTAAAATTTTATTTATTAAAAATTTGTTTATATTAGTCCAACAAAGATAAAACAACGAAGAAGAAGGAGAAGAAGGGATTAGTAAGTAAAGAAAAAATAAATGTCAAAAAGTAAAGAGATAGAGTTAGAGAGATTGCACCAAAAATTTATAAAGATTCTACCTACCACTTGCCTTACTTATATCTCAAAGAGTTTTCTCTTGAGAGTTACATTAAAATTTGTCTTGAGCTTTTTTATAGAATATTCCAACGAACCTTATTACAACACATGAGAGATTTTATATAGAATGGTTCTCAAACCAAACAGAGATTTTAACATGCTAAACTCACTAATCAAATAGAGATTTTAACCGAATAATCTCAAGAACCAAATAAAAATTTTGATAGGCTAATCTCAAGAGCAAACAAAATATATTGTTCAAGAGAATCACACTTTTGGACAAGAATAAATGCAACACACCAGTAGGGATGGCAAACAAACCCAGGCCCGCCCACATCCGCCCGGGCCCGCCCCGAAATTAACGGGGGAAATCCGATTTAATTGGGTGCGGGTGCGGGTGCGGGTGAAACCCGGTTCTTAACTACGGGTGCGGGTGCGGGTGCGGGTAGACACTAAGACCCGCCCGCACCCGCCCCCGCCCCGCCCCAAATAATATATTTTATTTTGATTTCCTTATTTTATTTATTTTAATATTTATTTATTAATTATACTTTTAATTAAGTTATTAATATTCTTATTCCAATTAAAATAATAAAATTAATCAAGTTAATATTCATTTATTAATTAAAATTTTACTTAAATAATTAATTAATTTATTAAAATAATCAATTTTTTTAATTAAATTACTAATTTTTATTATAATTAAAAAAATAATAATTTTTTACGGGTGGGGGCGGGGCGGGTGCGGGTGCACCCGTTTTCTACTGGAGGCGGGTCTGGGTGGTAAATTTTCACCCCCGATTGGATTTGGGGGCGGGGGCGGGTCTGTTACATGGAGGCGGGCGCGGGTGCGGGTATAGTTAAACCCGCCCCCGACCCGCCCCGTTGCCATCCCTACACACCAGTAATACAACAAAAATCTCACAAGTATTTTTCACTTTCTTGACACTAAGATAACTTTGGTGAAAATAGAGAAGAATGGAGTAGAAAATGACATAGTAAAGTTTCAATTTTGAAATTTGGGATGAAATGGAATGAGAAGAAGACCTCTCTATTTATAGAAAATCAATTGGTTCAAAAAGAAAATGATCCATGAAGATTTTTAATGTCTTCATCGATTAACCCTATTTGTTAATCGATTAGACAACCTAATATAAAAAGTTTTTGAATTATACTATTATTAATCAATTAAAGACTTCTCTAATAGGTTTGAGGCATTACAAACATGTTAATCGACTAGCCTTAATATGGTAATCGATAAATCAATTTAAAAAGTCCTATAAATTGATTAAACAAGTCAGTAATCAATTAAGGATGCATATAAAAATATTTTTAGGTGTTTTATTACATAAGAGAGACTTTAAAACATTTTAAAATATATGTATGAGTTGTCTAATTATCTTGAGAGTTACTGTTATATCTTTATATTAAACTGATCACTCAGAAACACAGTAAGCGCAAGATCAGACGAACTTTCACACTTCGTCTCTTTCACAAATTTGGAGCTTCAAGTTCCCTTCCTTGATTCAACATTGATTTAGCACTTCATCTGAAACTTAAATCTTCTAAACAATGAGGCTTGAGATAAATTCTTTATTAGACGCCATCACCAGATGTTTCTAGATAAGAGGTCAATAAGTACTTCAGTTAATGTTGTTTGACCTTAATAGGGTCAGCCTTGATCTAAAGTAAGGGGTGTGAAGGCCTACGACCCAAGATTTTGGGGGCCCAAATTTTTTTAATACTCACATAAAATTACAAAAAAATTAAACACATATCAGACTCATTTTTAATACTCGTAGTATTATAAAAAAAAATATACACGTGTTTAACCCAAATTTTTATACGCAGTCACTTCACTTTATTTCATTCCAACATTCAATTTCAATTTCAATACAATTTGTATCATCCATACGATCAAACCATTATTGCAGGCCTCTCAGTTAGGGAACACAAGTAAATTTGCATCCATAGATAAAAATTGTGTTTTGCATCCATCACTAAAAATTCTAATCTCCAATTGAAATATTGAATATTACTCCAATTCTCAATCCTCAATTTCAATACTACTCCAATTCAATTGAATTACTTAAAGTTCAAATCTCTATTTCACTTGAATTTTGTGCTAAAATTTCGTTGATTTTTTTTTATTAACATATTATTTTCTACAAATTGTTAACATTTAACATATTATTTTATGCATCCAATTTTAACTATTTGAATCTTACAATTGTGAAAATATAGTGTGTAATTTAAAGTTTAAGATTATACTTCTCAAGTGCTATTGTTCTCTACTTGAATTTTTTTTTTTGGGTTTATTTGAGTATTTGATTTATTTTAAGATGTTGCCTAAAAAACCAATTATCGGATATTAAAAAACGAAGAAAAAAAAAAGAAAACAAAATGAGGAGCTAATAAAATTACAAAAATGAGCTCTTGATAAATCTGTTTTCAAAAAGGTAGATACATAAGAAAATTTGGATAACAGCGCCAATGAAAATTAGAATCATTCAAATAAAAATTTAAATCATGAAAATTTTGATAATTCAAGCGTTCTTAATGATGTATCTATTACTACGGAAAACATATACAATAACAGTTGGAAAAAGGATAACATCACGCGTGACTTACTGTTATTACGTAGGGTGTTGTTATACATGTGTTACTTACAATCACGGTCTTATGACATTGTAGAAAACCTGAAAGCGCGTGATATCTTATCACGATTGATAACCTAACCGTTGTAATATATTAAAGGTCCAAAGTTCGATTTCCATCGCATTTTACGTATATAACCATGGTCTTCTACAACAACAGTGATTATATTATATATTCTCACTATACAATTATAGTCAAAAATAAAAATCGTCGTTAAATTATATGATTTAAAAAAAAACTGTATTTTGAAAATTTTCCATTTTATAACCTGCATTGTTTAAACTATAACAGAACAAAAACAACAATTGAAGATGCATATTAAAACAATCAATCTCAAGTACTTATTTATTTCATCAAATAAAAAATATTATTTACAACACTCAAACTCAAATGCACATCAAACTGTAATAGAACAGAAACGACAATTGAAGGTTTTAAACTCAAATACTTATTTATTTCATCAGATGAAAAATGTTATTTACAACACTCAAAGTCAAATGTACATCATATATATATATATATATATATATATATATATATATATATATATATATATATATATATATATATATATATATATATATATATATATATATATATATATATATATATATATATATATATATATATATATATATATATATATATATATATATATATATATATATATATATATATATATATATATATATATATATATATATATATATATATATATATATATATATATATATATCTGTGTGTGTGTGTGTGTGTGTGTGTGTGTGTGCGCGCGCGCGCGTGCGTGCGTGTGTGTGTGAGATGTTGGATCGAACTCTAGTGTTGTCGAAGTCTGTTCGCAAGTAATGCGTGTTGTAGTCGAAGTTTGTTCTAACA